AGAATCTGGTCGAGCTTCTCGTTAAACTTGTTGGACTCATGCGTCTGCTCGACCGAAAATTGGTTCCAGCACTGCTCGGAAGAGTATGGGTGCCATTGGGTGTAGTACCCGGCACAATAACTCGGCTCACTGTTCCAAGAGGGGTAGTGCGGGGTGGAATACTCGTGATTGAACTTCATATCCCTGCACAACAAAACAAAACAACCCAACGTAGCCACGAAAAAGAGAAGAAGAAAAAGACACAAAATAGAAAAACAAAAATGCAGAGAAAAAACAAAAATACTAAAAATGCAAAAATAAAGAGAAACACAGAAAATAAAATCAATACCAAGACCAAGTATCCTACTTGCCTTCCCCGACAACGGCGCCAAATTTGTTGTAGCACAAATTATTCTTTTTACCGAGTACCGAATCGAAAGATTCGTTCCCCGGGGTCGATCTCACGAGGAAGACGGTTCGGAATTTAGCTTTGATATTGACAACACATAAAAAGAAAATAAATCCTAAACACTCTAATCGGATAGCAGATTGGATGAATTATTAACTAAGAAACAAAATAAAAATAATAATCTACCTAAAAATATAAACGAAATACAGATGGAGAAGCTAGGGAATCGGGGATAATTAATTCAAGTTCTAGCAAAACCGGACAATCAATTGTCAATGTTCGATTCAAGATTGACACTCTCGCTTATACATCTAGCGGTTCGCTCCCAATAACTCTTCGTAACAAGGGATTGAACATAGACGAACAAGTTCGAGCATACAACACAGGCTAATTATCCCAATCTCAATAACTTTTCGTAACAAGGGACGGGTCATCGACAAGTGCGTATTTCAATCTAAAACATATAGACTATTTAGTTATGAAATTATCTACCTCATGCGAGCCTAGGTCTACGACTTTTCCCCTTTCGGTTTAAAGGTCGCTAATTAAATTAGAAGAGAATTAATCAACTAATCATATGGAATCGACAAACCCTAACTCGACAAATTAACATTCAACTGTCACCAATAGCAAGATCGAAATGTCACTTTTCGATTATATCAATCTATCGAACAAGAACTCATCAATTCCTAATCAATCCAACTCACAAAAGCATGAACAAATTGAATCCCGACAATTACACGTTAAACAAGAACAATCATCCCCTATCCCTAGCAATGGAATTTAGCTACGAATATCAAATTCAACAATCATGATCAATCCTCTTAAATAATCATTATTCATGAATCAAATAAGAGAAGTGAATACTTACAATCAATCCAAGTTCCAGTCGAATTCGAAATACAAGTTAAACCCTAACTAAGAAGAAGAAGAAGAAAAATAGAAAATAATGGTGAAAAGAAGAAGAAAATTGAGGAAGAAGAAGAAGAAGAGAGAAGAAGAGAAGGAGAGAGTCGTGTTTTCAGACCTAGGTTTACACCTGGTCGAGATGTGTCTCGAGTCTCGGACAAGTTCTCCTTTATATGGTTCGAAAAACCGAGCAAAAACGAGAGAGAACGAAAAAAAACAATTCTGCGCCCGCGACCAGGCCATAGCGGCGCTATGGGTCGCGGGGCTTGGGCGTCTGGCCGTCGCTATGGGCGCGCTTCGTTGGTAGTGCCGCTAGCTGGGTTGGCCATAGCGGCGCTATGGTCCGGCAGCCTTGCACGATTTCACGGTTTGGGCTCGTTCGGGCTCGTTTGGACTCGGAATTCGATTCCGCTTTTTCCTGTGTGTTGCCAACGAACTCCTCTATTTAATTATGCTTGCACAATAAGCTTTTGCCCATAATTAGGTCCTCCCGAAGCTTCAAACCTACACACCATAAACAAAGAAAAAAATTGGAAAAACACACGAAAACACATAAAAAACCGAAATAGACCAAATCAAGCAATAAACTACAAAAACGAATAAAACCCAACAAAAAGACTCAATATGGGAGAAAAAGAAAGACAAAGAGACAACGAAAAATGCAACTAAAATGGGACAAACATGTCCCAACCTTTTATGCCACAGTTCCAAGTCCATTTCATATCCCAAAGCTGCATTGATGTATATATTCTGCATGTCTAAAATATATAGACCCCCCAAGGCTTTACCAACTGCTAGTGTCTTGTTCTTATCAGAATTCTGCAGCACACAACCTTTGTCTGTAAATTCAACTTTCAAGCCATAGTCCTTCACTAATTGACTAACAGACCACAGGTTGTATTTAAAGTCTGGAATCAGCAATGCATCCTTCAAGACAAGTTGATCATTTAACTTCACTTCTCATGTTTGTTTCACATTAATTTTTGAACCATCTGGAAGATTTACTATAATTGAAGATGAAGCACTCACTATCTTATCTGCCATTCCACCTCTGAGAAAATGTGTTTGCTTACTCCTGTGTCAAATATCCAACTCCCCTTTCTCAGCTTACTCAGCAAAGAGAAGGCATAATCTTCCATGTTACCTGAATCATCAACAAAATGTGAGAAAGAGTGGTTCTCATCTCCTTTGTGTCCCTTCATGTATTTTGCAACCTCTCTTTCGATGAGTGACCCAATTTCAGATGCATTGTCACTGTGCTGGGATCTTCCTTCAGATTCTTACTTCACACTTCCTTCACTTTCTGTCATGTTCACATTCTGAGTTTGCCTTTGGTCCTTAAGTTCCTTGTACCAATATGTTGCACCTCATGTCCGTTGTATCCACAATGTGTACAAAATAACTTAGCTCTTTTTTCCTTAGACAGCCTAGGACCTCCTCTACCTCTCCCTCCAGAATTATACCCTTGGCCAGCATTTCTTCTTCCACCACTTCCTCTAACAAATCCCCCATTTCTACCTGCTCCTCTACCATAGTTGCTCCTTACCACCATGGCTGAGGATTCCAAAGGATCTCTGAGGCTGTTCATTATACCTTTTTGGTTCTCGACCTTCAAAATCATTGAATAGACTTTATTAACAGTAGGTAGCGGATCTAGCAGCGAGATATGATTCTTTACTGGCTCAAAAAATTCATTTAGCCCCATTAAAAATTGCATTAACTTGTTCTCCATATCATTGTCATTAAAGGCTTTCCCAGTGCCACACATACACTCAGGCAAGGTAATTAAGCATGTGTGTTCATCCCATAAACACTTCAATTTCGTGTAGTAAGCTGTAACAGACAGATTTTTTTGAACAAAATTTGCAATCTCCTTTTGAAGTCTGTATTTCAATGGATCGTTACTCTCACCATACCTTTCAGCTAACTCATCCCATAGTTGCTTGGCACTTTTCACATAAATGAAGGCCTGAACTATTTCTTTTGAAATCGAGTTAAGTAACCAAGATATTACCATGGATTCGACCTTCTGGTACTGATCAAACTCCTCTGTCCCTTGTTTTGGTACTTCTATGGTTCCCAGGATAAATCCTAGCTTGGATTTTTCCCCCAGCACTAGCTTCGTGGCTCGACTCCAGTATGAATAGTTTGTTCCTGTCAAGAGGTTCGTGACAAGCACCATTCCAGGGTGATCTGAGCCATGGAGCGAAAGTGGATCTGTGTCTCTCGCATAGCTGTGTCGAACAATTTCCCTTCCTTGTTCCCGATTATCGCGCGACATCTTCAAGCTTCAAAGTACCTGCTCTGGTACCATGTAGATCCGAAGAAAATTTATCATGAAATGTAAAAGATTTACAGATAGAATTCTGTGAGCTCATTTTCCGCCATTAATTTCTTATCCATTCATCATGAAGAAGAAGAAGTACCAATAGCATGCACACCACGTGAGAACTAAGTTGCTATCACTAAAGCCAAACGTGCCAAGCTAAAATGCGAGAACAAAAAGAAACAACTTAAGGGAACTAAAGTAAAATCCAACAATAAAGACATAAAATGAGAAGTCTCCAAATAAACTCGTCTGCTATTTTCAATGCAAGCATAGAAATTCCCTTCATCTTAACACGCTTCTCAGTCTCACAGTCGCGCATTGGTTGCCTTGTAGACCCGCACGTTGTTTCGACGGGTCGCTCGACCTGGTACTGAGGCGTGGTCCACAGCCCTTGCTACTGAAAATTCGTCCTTGACTCGGCGATCGACCGTTGTGGTTGTAGCTAGCGTCGTGTCGAAAAGTACATTCGCATGAGTTGGGAATAGCTTTGGCCGCTTGTAGCGCTTGCGTCGGGGGACCGAGGTTGAGGAGCAGCGATTCTCGCTCCATAGACCCCTCTTTTCCTACTGTAGATTTTGAGTTATTTTATATCCAAATACACCCTCATGGGTAGTCATTTTCCTCACTTAAAAAAATAAGTAAAATAAATTATTTGTATACCTTAAATTCTTGGGCTTATTTTATAAAATACTAAAAAAAAAAAATTGAAAAAGAAATAGCATGCTCATCCGAGATACACAGCTAAACCCCACATCCAAAATCACAGTCAAAGAGAGGCGGAGCCGTGTTGTAACTTCACGGGCCATATCTCAACAAAATGCTTTTACTTTTATAGTTTTATTAAAATAAAAATATCACCAAACATATGTTGAGTCACGTAGTAAGCAGTTTGATATCGCTTAAGCAAGATTTCGAGTGCGAGTTCTTGTGAATGTAGAAAATTCTTGTTAGGAGACTCACTCACTACTGCCAGGCGTATGACTCGAGTCGAGCAACGAATTAGTCGGAGCATAATTCCAAATAACGTGACTGGCTAAACCTACTGTGGTAAGTCGTTTGATTCATATAATAATAATAAATGATTATTAGAAGCCACCATAAACCCACGACGCCCCACCCAACCCCATCACCCCCAAACAAAGCAAACCTCTCCAAACCGCGTTCTTTTTCCTTTCCCTATTTCTTCTTAATTAATGAATTATTACATAATTAATTAATTAATAATTAATTAATTGCTCTTTTATGGCTTCCCTGGCTGCTCTCTATTTACCTTTCCCTTTCTTCACTTTCTTCCTCCTACATTATATAACACACACACACACACACAAACGCTCTGTATCTCTCTTTTCTCCCCCACAAAATTAAAAAAAAAAAATGGCATCTGGTGAATCCTTCTTCGTCACTACTGCCCACTTTCTCTCTCCTCTTCTTTTCATTCTCTCTCTCTCTTTCCTCCTCACTGTAGCTGAAGCCAATAACAAAAACACTACAGTCTCCCTGTTTTTCACCCTGACCTCTGCCCCACTAACCTCCCAATCCACCTCCTTCCTCTCCTCCCTCGCCGCCTCTCCCCTCCGCCGCACCTCCTCCGACACTCCGCCGTTGGGATACAGCTCCAAGACCCCTTTCCGCTACTCAATGGCCCTCATCGTCACCCTCCTCATCGGCACCCCTCCCCAGCCCCAGCGCATGGTCATCGACACCGGCAGCCAGCTCTCCTGGATCCTCTGCCACCGCAAGAAAACCCGAGACCCTCCCCCCGCCGCCGCCTCCTTCGACCCCTCCCTCTCCACCTCCTTCTCAGTCCTCCCCTGCTCCCACCCCCTCTGCAAACCCCGCATCCCCGACTACACCCTCCCCACCACCTGCGACGCCAAACGCCTCTGCCACTACTCCTACTTCTACGCCGACGGC